AGAACAGTTTTTCATAGAGCTTAAAAATCCAATTCAAACTCCATAATGGCTTCAGATAGAAAAGAAAAGAGACTCCCATTGTCAAATGGAATAAATAAAACAAACAAAAAACCTCATAGCAAGAAGGAAGTAATGGCTAGAAGATATATAGATATCCCTTTTCCTTCGCAGTTTGCTTAAGTATGTAACTAGATAGTAAGTTTCAAAAGTGGGTGACCTGAATTACAAGTCACTTGAAAGTAATTAGATTAGTCTTTATCTTTTGGGCAAAATTCCCAGTAAATTGTCACCTTAAAATCAAGCCAATAACAATGTTCTTATCTAGAAGTTCTGAAGTGTGGAAGAAAGCAGTTATCACCCAGGATTAGGCAACAAGGAATTTAGCAATACATTTTTATCAGAGGAACTAAAATTAATTTCATCAGTTCTAATAGACTTTAATTTACTGTGTTTCTGAAAAATTTTGCTGCTATACCTATGAAAGTAATATTTCTCTGGTCTTGGCACCATTTATATAGCCTGAAAACAGTTTGAAAATGAAATTAAAATTTTGGATCTGGTGGTTTAATAATAACTTACAGAATACCTAAAATAGACTACTTCAGATGACCAAATTTATCAATCTCTCCAGAAAAAAATGGAGGGGTTGGCTAAAGTGGCCTAATCTATTTTTGTTCCCAAATACAATCTTTAATGCTTGCTTACTCCATAAGCTGATTGAAACCCATTTACTGGTGAAGCAAGGAAGACAGCATGCAAATTGCATCAAATAGTTCTTATTTTGTGAATGGAATGATGGTCATATAAATAGAGTACTTATACTAGATTTTGTAATAATATCTGATATGTACATAGTATTTCACAGTTTATAAAACACTCCCCGCAAGCATGCCACAAAGCACATAAGAAAAATATTATAGAGGGGAAAACTGAGGCTTAGAGAGGTACAATGATCTGCCTATGTCATATGCCTAGTAAGTGGTGGAGCAAGGCCTCAAACTCAGAACTTTTGATTCTAAGTCTCTTTCCATTAAATCAGGTTTGCCCTTCTTAACTAAAATACTTATCCTTAAAAATCAAGTTCAAATACTCCCTCAGTTCTGCTCCTCAACTTTGTTAGAGTTGGGGAAAATAAAACCAACTATTTAAAATAAAATATTTTCAGTGTGCAGACCAATCCACCTATAAACTGATATATTTGCCTTTGAAAAAATTATTATTCTAGTAGTACATAAATGGTTGCCAAAAAAAGTTGTCTAAAATATGTGATTCAGTAGCATTTATCCCCCAATCCCTCCTTCCTCATCATATAGTCACATTCTTATACAACTCTTCACTTAGCTCTCTTTTTCAAGGACAGTGACAAGAATTCACCTATTGATTGCAAAATGGACTTTGGTATAATGATTCTTCATTCACATAAATGTAAAAATAAGTAAATAAATACTGTAGAAAATAGCTGTACTCCAAAATAAGAGGGTCCCAATAGTTATGAGATCAAGTAGAAGGCATTGGAAAGTCTTAAAGTTTTCATTGCTCATTTATAAATTAACTGTATTACACAACAGTAGTCTAAATGAAATTGAGTGTTCATATGGAATAGCATATGCTGCTCCATGTGGAGGACAAACTTGTGGCCATTAGAATTAATTGAAATAACATTGGGGGTTTTTTTGCTGAATTTTAAAAATTAATTTATTTTGATTTATCAACAATCACTTCCATATGCTTTTGAGTTTAAAATTTTTCTCCCCTTTCCTCCCTACCACCCTCCCCAAGACAGGGCACAATCTGATATAGGCTATACATATACATTCCTATTAAACACATTTTCACATTAGTGATGTTGTAAGTAGGAATTAGAACCAATAGGAGGAACCACCAGAAATAGGAAACAAAACTGAACAGAAGAAAAAAAAATAGCAAATACTATGCTTCAATCTGCATTCAAACTCCATAGTTCTTTCTTTGGATGTGGACAGCATTTTCCATCACAAGGCCTTTGGAGATGTCTTAGATCCTTGTATTGCTGGGAAGGGTTAAATTTATCAATATTAGTCATCGTACAACTTGGCTGTTATTGTGTACAACGTTCTTTTGGTTCTGCTCATTTTACTCAGCATCAGACCATACAAGTCTTTCCGGGTTTTTCTGAAGTCAGCCTGTTCATCATTTCTTATAGCACAAGAGTATTCCATTACATTTAAATATCACAACTTGTTCAGCCATTCCCCAATTGATGGGCATCCTCTCAATTTCCAATTCTTTGCCACCACAAAAAGAGCTGCTACGTATATTTTTGTACATGTGGGTCCTTTTCCCATTTGTATGACCTCTTTGGGATATAGCCCCAGAAGTGCTATTGCTGGGTCAAAGGGTATGCACATTTTTATAGCCCTTTGGGCATAGATTAACGTTGGTTTTAAGGAGCACACTTGAAGATAATTCAAGCAGTGTTTAGCAATAAACAAACAAATTTAAAAGGAAACAGATTAAAATGCAGTCATTCTAAAAATATTTTATAGTGCTATAAACAGATTATCCTTTTTTTTGGCAAGGCAATCAGGGTTAAGTGAGTTACCCAGGGTCACACAGCTAGTGTATGTTAAAGTGTCTGAGGCTGGATTTGAACTCAGGTCCTTGACTCCAGGGCTAGTGCTCTATCCACTACACCACCTAGCTGCCCCTGGGATTAGTTTTAGAATCACCAGTATTATGTTACTGTTTTTGCCAAATTTTCTTTTCAGTAATTGATTTTCTAAGATTATCTGGCCCTGTGTCAAAATTTACATCAGTCTTTCATTTTTGTACTCAACTTTAGGAATTTTGGGGGGAGGGGGGAGGTGTGTAGAGAGATAAAATCAATTTCAAATTAGTATCTTCATTTGTTCGTATGTGAAAATTTGTAGAAATGCCTGATGGTTCCGCATAATACCAGACGTTTCTATCCATAGACTCTGAAACTGTGAGACAGCTGAATGTGAAGTGAATTATTTTGCATAGTTCATGAACACAAGTGTGAAAAAAAATAACTGTTATAAAATAAAAATTAAACCATGCTATGAAAATGTTCAGGGAAACATGAAACTTATAGCCTGAAAACTCTTCCTAATATGACATGGGAAAATTTTTATTATATTATAAAGACTATTTACAACCCTAACATTAATATCATTTACCTTATTACCTTCTTAAAGTATCTCTTCAGGAAATAGATGCGTCAACACATAAAAAGGATGTTTCTGCATGATATTAGCATTCATTTTTAAAAATTTACTATGGAAATGGAATACATGTGGCAAAAGGTGATGAGAATAGAGAGGAAATGGTGTAGCTCATGAAGTCAGACACATCGCAAATTGGAATAATTTCAGCACCATGGACACAAGCAACATATCCATCAAAGCCTTTTCCCACTGAATACAGAAAGGAACAGAAGACCAAATCCCCAGAGACATGAGGCTCAGTCCTAGGCAGTTAGATTTGAAGCTAGGAACATCTTGGTCACTGTCCATCCCACTGATTCCTAACCTTGTAGTGTGAATTTAGAGTCAGACATGGGTTCTCCAGTGCTCACAAAAATAGCCACTATGCACTTAATACTCATTAAAATATGAAAGCTTATATGAAGAGGTAATTCAAATCCTGCTTGAGGAAGAAAAATGACTAGGCAAGAATTAATTCCACCAAATTTTCAATTCCATGAATAAATAACATTAAACATACAATCTCCCTCCATCCCTTTCATAGAGCAGTGTGCAAAGATCTGTTCTGTGGAATACTGACTATTTAGCTTTGCTTGTTATTTAGTTTATCCAGTTCTGCTTCTGTGGTTACAGAGATCTCTATGTAAGGATCTACATATATATATCTGAGAAGTGGGGGTTTAATAAAAATGTAGCTTAGAGGTCAGCATAGAAGCTGATACCCAAATAGATATTAAATCCTCAGTAACAATTGTAAGATGACAGACTCTTCTCAGTATTTTTGGCTGACCACTGAGTAAATGATACAAACACACATCTGTTTATTTATCTGCACATGAACCTTTGGTCTAATTAGGATTAGTGAAACACAAAATAAGATCTGTTCACCTGGACACCTAGGTAAAATGTAATCCTGATTCTGGACTTCTCTTAGATTTTCTTATCTTTCTCCTTGACCTTCCTTCTCTTTCCTCCTTTCTTCTTTTTTCCCCCCTCCACTTAACCACCTCTCCAAGCTGGAAAAGTGAATTGTAAATACTGAATTCCTGTATGAATCTAGCAGTGGAGCTCAGGAAAGAGCTATAATATATTGCCTTCTCCATGCTGAGGAAAAAACAGACAACAGCCATACTGTTGGACTCCTTGCTTATGATAGGAGAGGAAAGTGAAAAGGAAAAGATGATACTGCAACATTTGACCACTTTTGTTTTTTTCAAAAATCTATAACCAAGGTAGATTTAGATGCAGGTGAAGAGATGGAGGATGGGAAGGGAAGCCTCTGAATTCATGATGCCACAGGTCATTGCTCACCACTGAGAAGAACAGAATCTCTATCTGTTGAGCTCCTGTGAAGAAGTTAAGAGTTGCTAACTCCCCCCCCTTTAACCTCACCAGCCCCCAAGTTCTAGTTTCATAGAAAAAAAATTAGTTGCCCAATTATTTAATTCAACTTAGTCTTCAGATAGCCCTAGTCAAATCTTTAATGACAAGGGTGGAGGAGAGATTCTCTTCCCTAGGATAAATGAAAGGATTATTTCTCATCCTTTTCCCAGCTTTCAGAGACACTAATGCCGAAAAGCAAAGGATTTAAATGTCGACCTGTTTTCAGCCCAGGTTTTTCTTGCCCTTCCAAATATCCACAGGAGGGGGTGGGGAAGGAGGTGACAGGAAAAGAGGAAGAGAGTGGCTGGCACAGAAACAAACACAGGTATGAGAGGATAAAAAGAACAAGATAGCTCCTCTGTGGTATAAAAGGCCAGAGAAAGCTGGAATCCAGGAAGCTACAGCTTTTACCTGTCTGTTCTGGCGAGGGAAGGAATAGACGTTTCTGCTCCTTTGCTGAAGTCTGGAAGTTATTGCCTTCGGACCAGGAGGGAAAAACTGAAGTGTCAGAACTGAGGACAGGAGGTCTGGGTGAAGGTGTCTGCCAGTGTTTCCATTTCCCTCCGACTGGGAGGGATAAAAACAACAACAGGAAAATAAACAGAAGCTGAGAATCCCTTCTGATTCACAATCTGCTGGGCAGCCGCTAGCAGCTTAGCGCATGCTGGAGAAAAAGAAAGCTGCCACGGTAGCGCTCTGGGGCGCTAACCCTACAGGCTCCTTCCTCCTCACTTCCCAGATGTCATGCCTGAGAAGGACGAGGGGGGAGGGGCAGGGGAAGGCGAAGAGAGAAGGCCACAGCGGGGGGAAAAAAACCCTGAGTGGGGAATTAAAGGAGGAATAGCGGAGCATGCGCATCCAGCATGCTATAGACACAGAAGCTGTGGGGAGGGGGGTGGAATCTAAGGTTAAGGGTAAAATATTACTTCGAATCCTTCTCTGGTTCCCTGAATGCTTGAACTAATGTAGACTTTTTTTTGTTTCTATAGTTATTTGGAAGTTTTATATCTCAAGGAGATTATTTTCTGGCTCTATTAAAAAAATCACCTTCCCTGAAGGTCAGTTTGTCCACCTTTGAGGAGAGTAGTCTCAGGCATACAAGATTGATGGGTGGCTTCGGGTTATTTTGAAAGTGTCATTCTAAGGCATTGTATATTCCCCACCCCAACCCCACTATTCTGTTGTGATTATTTCACTCAGTTTCCAAATGTTTAAAAATATTTTCTATTTCCAAAAATACTCCCTAGCATCTGTATATTACATAATTTTAACACCGAAAGGGACCTTGGAGTACCTATGGTCCAATCCCCTCATTTACAGTTAATAACATTTACAATTATCACCCACTTGCTTTTCAAGAGGAAGGTAATGGCAATTTGCTGGCTATTTCTAAATAACAACCCAACGATGTTTTGAAATTGATAAATATAATAGAGTAAGTGACTTAGTGGTCATTAAAATAACCCCAAAACCTGGGTTTCAACCTTATCTTCAGGCACTGACCTTTATTTTTCGGTCCTGTTAAAACAAAGAGACTGGTCTGATCAGATTTCCCCTTCCCCCACAAGAATGGAATTTAGAGATAAGCTTGGCAAAATAGGTACACTGCAACTCTGCTGGAGTATCTCTTTGTAAGCAGAATTAATATCTGTATAAAAATAGGACATATTCTAAGGACTAATATCTTTAAGCACTGAACTATTAAGTTTCCCCAGATTGGTCTTCTTCATACAATATGGTAATTATTTTCAACCAAAGGGTTTACCCTCAAAATGTAGTCATTTGCCCCCAAATATTTTTCTTTCTTTCAGGCACACAGACACACCATTTTATGAACGTATTTTGATCAGTGTTTCCAGAGGGGGACAGACTTTATGCAAACATGTTATTTTTCTGAGCCCAATAAAAACCTACAGATTCATCACCTTAGAGGAAGCAGGCTAATTACAGATGGAAATTATTTACTACAACAAATTTTTTAAAAATCAAAGTATTTTAAGTGACATATTACCTCTTCTCTAAAAAAAATGCCTTCCCTATAGCATTCAGAAGGAAAAAATAAAATATATACGATATTGTGAATGTGGCAACCCCTCTGGGAAACCTCTCCTACTCAGTACTCACAGATGGGTAGGTTAGGTCACAGAAATATGTCTACTCTTAAAGGTTCTAAAACATACTCTGGATAGCCTAAAACGATATCTTATGAACTTACCATTAACAATCATCTAGTAGACTCAATAAGCTCAAAGCAAAGGCATTTTCTAAAATTTCATAGTAAGAATAATAGTTATGTAATATTCCTCATGTAGGAACCTCCTCTCTCTTTTCATAGTGTCCTCATGCTGCTCCTCCTTGGACACTGGGTATCTGCTGGGCGGGTTGTTCATCTGGGCTCACTGGGTCAGCTTTGCCCTAAAGGTGAGCTCCAATCTGGAAGAGCTAATTCTTCCTTGAAGCCTAGTTGATGCTCTTTTTTGCTGCCCAGGGTCTTTCCTCTTGAAGCTGCTTCTGCATTGCACTGTTTGATTCAACTCTTGAATAACTCAACTTTCAGTTGTGACTGGAACTCTCAAGGAAGTAGACCTCTCTGCTTCCTATTTGATTCAGTGTCTTTAACTGCTGATAAGGGACAGTGGGGGGATAGAGGAGAGAAAATCCTCTCTCTTCCTCCTCCCTCCCCTTCTGCCCTCTGGTATAGGGCACATGCCACATAATATAAAGATGCTCCATGCCTTGCACTGCTCAATTCCTTGGACTATTTAAGAGAATGCCAGGCTTAGCTTTGTAAAGGCTGCCAAGGGCATAGTCAATCTGTGGTTAGCCAATGCCACCCCATTCCAATTCAATCAGAGAAACTTTTTCATGTAGTGTTAGTATATGAATATTTCTTTGCCTGTCTTATCTGCCCCTTCCTTTCTGTAATTACATCAGCTAGCTGAGGATTAGACAACTAGGTGGCATAGTGGATAGAGCACTGGGCCTGGACTCAGGAAGAATCATCTTCCTGAATTCAAATCTGGCCTCAGACACTTACTAGCTGTGTGACCCTGGAGAAGTCACTTAATTCTCTTTGCCTTAGTTCTTCATCTGTAAAATGAGTCAGAGAAGGAAATAGCAAACTGCTCCAAGTATCTGTCAAGAAAACCCCAAATGGGGCATCTAGATAGTGCAGTGGATAGAATACCAACCCTAGAATCAGGAGGACATGAGTTAAAATCCAGTCTCAGACACTTGACACTTATCAACTGTGTGACCCTGGACAAGTCACTTAACCCCAATTGTCTCACCAAAACAAAGAAAGTAAACCCCAAATGGAGTCACAAAAAAGTCAGACATGAAAGAACAACAAAAGCTGGAGGATTGGGAGACATATCTGACATATCTCTTTCCCTAATACATGAGTAATGCCAACTTTGGATGAAGAGTCAGCTTTGCATGGGGGCAAGGATTCCCAAACTGAAGTATGATAAGCTTGTCAAAAAAAAGTATGGGAGTATTTCATAAATAACTATATTATCCCATTGAAATATTCCAAAAGTAATGGTTTTAGGTGTTTTTTTAAAAAGTAGGTTGGAGAGAGAACAATGAGAAGGCAAGGGCAGAGGAAGAAAGGGAAAGAGCTCTATGGCACATCTTAAAAATTTGAATGAGGTATTTGAATAAATAATTTCTACTAACCAAAACCAAAGGATTGGGGTTTGGATATGAAATCCTTTTCACATTGAACTACAAAAGAGTCAGCAAAAGCCACCCAATGAAACATGAGCTCATTGATATTGATCTCTTCAGTAATCAGAAATAATTAATTTCTGATCAATGAAGTCAGAAAAATTTGAGTGTACCCTTGAAGAAGCATATCCCATTCCAACTAAACATGCTCACAATGCTTTTCTTCTGTTTATAACAACCTGTCCCTGTGAATCAGGATTCTCAGTCCTGTTCTCAATCAAATTAAAAGCAAAACCAAAAAACAAATAAGTAAAATAACAGAGACTGAATATGATATGTGGATATCTTTTTTCAAAAGTTGTATTGAAAATAAGTTTTGGCTGACAATAAACATAAACAAGGTTCTCGTTAATTTATTTGGCTTATTCAAATAAACATTTGACAACTTTATTATATAAAATATCACTTATCAAATAAAGGTTTTATGGAAATTAATTTCTATTTTATTACTTTTTGTGCATTTTAAAAAATTTTACTAAGCATATGCATGGCAAACCCATATTGAATAAAGAATAAAGAGATTTACTGAAAGCCAGTGGGTACAGGGACTCACAAAGGTTGAGAATTCCTGGAATCAGGGGTAATATTCTAGAACTGTGGTTAAGAGACTAGGGTTCAAATCTTAAAAGTTGCATGAAATAACCCCACATAAATCATCTGCATTTCTATATATTACAAAGTCTAACAGCAAGAAATAGAAAGGGAAATTCCATTTAAAAAAACAGTAGACAATATAAAATATTGGGGAGTCTACCTGCCAATAAACTCAAAACTATATAAACAATCATAAAACACTTTTCACACAAATAAAATAAGATCTGAACAAGTGGAAAAATATTAATTCCTCATGGGTAGGCCAAGCCAATATAATAAAAATGACAATTCAACCTAAATTAATTATGGCACTTATTCGGTGCCATGCCAATCAAAATACTCTCCCAATCCATCAGATTTTGTTGTTCATTCATGTCCAACTCTTTGTGACTACATTTGGGATTTACTTTTTTTGTTTGTTTGTTTTCCTTTGACAAGGCAATTGGGGTTAAGTGACTTGCCCAGTGTCACACAGCTGGTAAGAGTCGTATCTGAAACTGGATTTGAACTCCGGTCCTCCTGACTCTAGGGCCAGTATTCTATTCACTGCACTACCTAGCTGCCCATTTGGGGCTTTCTTGACAGATACTGGAGTGGTTTGCCATTTCCTTCTCCAACTCATTTTATAGATGAGGAACTAAAGCAAATAGGATTAAATGGCTTGTCCAGTGTCACACAATCAAATTATTTTAGAGAGCCAGAAAGAATTCATTTGGAAGAAGAAACAGTCAAGAATATCAAGGTAATTAGTGAAAAAAAATTGTAAAGGAAGGTGGCCTTGCTGTACCAGATCTCCAACTGTATTACAAAGTGATAATCATAAAAACAATTTGGTACTGGCTAAGACATAGAGTGGTGGATCAGTGGAATAGATTAGGTACACAAGCCACAATAGGTAATGAACACAGTAATCTGGTGTTTGATAAACACAAAGATTCCAGCTTCTGGGACAAGAACTCACTATTTGCCAAAACTGCTGGGGAAAATGGAAAGCACTTTGGCAAAAACTAGGTATAATGCAACATCTCACCCTGTATACCAAGATAAGATCAAACTAGGTGCGTGGTTAAGACATAAAGAGTGATATCATAAGCAAATCAGGGAAGCATGGAATAGTTTACCTGTCAGATCTATGGGTAAAGGCAGAGTTTATGACCAAATATGAAATAGAAAGCATTACAGGATGTAAAATGGGTATTTTTAGTATATTAAATTTAAAAGGCTTTGCACAAACAAAACCAATGCAGCCAAGATTAGAAGGAAAGCAGAAAACTAAGGAAAGAAATTGACAGCAAGTTTCCTGGATAAATATAAGAGAAATGAGACAAATTTGTAAGAATTTAAATCATCCCACAATTGATAAATGGTCAAAGGATATGAATAGGCAGTTTTCAAGTGAAGAAATCAAAGCTATCTATAGTC